CAGATGCTCAACTGACTCAGCCACCCAGACACCCCGTAAGTAGCACTTTTAAAAATCTTTGCTCGTGTACTAAGTTGTTCGTGCATAAAGTGTAATTTTCAAAGCCCTTAAAAAACTTGATAATAAAGGTCATTGGTGGAAATTGTTTAAGATTCTAAGTACAGAGGTCGATCTACTATAGAAGCTCCTTACACTCAGACAGAGGGATGGGGTGCTCTTTGATGTTATCAGACCTCAAACCGTCAGTGTTAGTTGGGGGATCCAGAGCACGATGGTCCCACGTCTTTCATGTCGGTGGTAAAATGTCATGCCTACAGGTCGGGCACTGCACAATGTACTCATACGATGAGCGACAGGATATCATAGCCTCCATATTGCTGGACAAATTAGATAAAGTCCCCTTGGATGTGCTCAAAGGCCAGAGAGAGCCTTTTTTTTCCAACTATATATCCTTAGGGCAGGGTTAATGAGGTTCAGAAGACTTGGAAACCACACATGTTGTGAAAAGATGCAAATTACGAAGAGCAGTTTATCGAAAATATACCGTGTCCCTTGCTTCATACTGGGCATGCAATTCCACTTTTTAGTTACATTATCTAGTTACAGTCTTAGTCTTCCTTGGGAGGAGAAAGCGTAGACCACAAGAGATTGAACAGTTTGCTCAAGTAGACGCCACGAGGAAGGCTCAGAGCTGGAAGACAGACCCTGGTCTATGTGACTCCCAGCCACTGCTCTCTTCTGCACTGCCGCCTTGTTCTGTCCTGCTGTCTGCACCCGATGGACAAGGGTGTTAGCGAGAGAACTCCAGCAATCTGGGGAGGTGATGATGGACGGATTTATGAGGGGAACTTATGTTGCGCTGAAACTGTAGCAAAGCAGACTGTGCAAAGCCTCCGCCTTTAGACGGCATTTGGAGACCAGTGATGGGACCACGGCATTTCTGAGAGGGGTACTCGCTGCCCCAAGCATAAGGGGGCGGCATCCCAGCTTCTCCTTTTTGAGGCTTACTCCCCCACTCAACCGTGAGTGCCCAGTGAGGGGTTAGCAGGGTTTCTTCCAAATTGTCTTAAACCCTTTGATCTCCTTTTCTATAATTTCTTCTTGACAAATAATATTCATCGTGGGTTTGAGACCCATCTCCTCCAGGAAACAGGCCCTGGCTAAGCCCTCTGAGCTTGGTTTGCTTCCTCTTTTATAGTTTTCATTACATTATCATGTACTTGATTTGATGTGCCCACTTACTGTGCATGCCAGGTATAGCATTCGTTCATCCATTCATTCATGTCCTATTTATTAAACATCTACTATGTTTCAAGAACTATGCTACAGGGATATATATGCTAGCAATCACAGATTTTTTCTCACGGAGTTTATGAGGGAGATAAAGGTCCACCAAATAATTCCAGAAATACATAAATACAAGCTGAGATAAGTGCTTTAAAGAAAGAAAAATGGTGTCATGAAAGCAGGTAGCAGAGGACTCTCAGCCAGATTGGGGGTATCAGGAAAGGGCGTATGGAGGAAGTGAAGTCTGAGCTGTGAGGGCACGCGCGCATGCGGGTGCCTGTGATGGTGGCGGAGGGTGGGTGGTGGGAGTGGCAGGGGCAGGTAGCAGCGTGGTCCTTCTGGGGAAGAGAAAAGCCAGGGTGGAGGGAGCAGAGAGGTGAGGGGCCCATCATACAAGACAGAACAGAGAGGTCCCCCGGGATGAGAGTGTGTGGGCCCTGGACATCTTTGTAAACACTGTGGTCTTTCCCCAAGGGAAATGGGAGGGCCCTGGAGACTCTGGGGCAAAGATGCGTGCGTTGTGAGCAGACCTAAGGCGGGCATAATGATGATCTCCTTTTACAAGGGAAGAAGCAGAGGCTCATGTGGCTTGTGTAACTTTTCTAGCAGAGGCTAGTGAGTAGCTTGGCTGGGAGTTAAACCCGTATCAAGGGCTGCCCACATTTTTTTTTTTTCTTAAGCATTCGGTGAATCTTTTTGACATATTCATTCTCTCTTCCTCTGTCTCTCACTTCTTAAGTCTGAAAAGGAAGCCTCTACTTCTGGAGTATGTATGGAACTGACTGGAATTAACACTATCAAGATCCTGCTCTGTAGCAGATATTGTTATTTTATTTAATCAGAGGGATCCCATAAGGGAAAGCCTCATTATCCCTACTTCCAAGATGACAAAACAGATGTTCAGAAAGTTAGATAATAAGCCCTATTGTTAGAAAGGAGAGTGGTTAGGGTAGGAGTCCATTCTATCTGATTCCCATGTTGAGATGCCCCCCAGTACACTGTACTGTTATGTTATTGACTTCTCCACCCAAAGTGGATGGGAAGGGAGGGATGGGGGCCAAGACTAGAAATGCAGAAAGGTCTGGATTGTTAGCTGTTGGCAGAAAAGCTTTCCCCGTTACTGAGCAGATCCACAATGGATGCTTGCCGAGGCAGCGATTTAGCCGCTCTGGTCTACGGCTCCTGGCTTTGCCGGTTGGGTCTTCTTTGACCTCAAGCTTACACTCCAAACCCTCCCTGTGTCTTCACGTCTATTTGTCCTCTGTCCCCTGAGTGAGAATGCAGGCGGATAAGAATATTTTGTTCAAAGGATTTCCCCCCCACCTTACTGTTTAAGGAGAAAAGGAAAATTCACAAAGCCCTAGTTCATTCAAGGAACGATACCAAATCCCCAAAAACATTGCTTTACATATTCTGAATCAAGTGTCTGGCTTTTAAAATGGGAATATACAGTCTTTCGGCTGAAAAAAAAAAAGAAAAAGAAAAAGGAAAAGAAAGAAAGAAAGAAAAAAAAAGAGTATGATTTATTACTCCAATCTTGCAGTCTATGTAATGCAGGCATTTCACTCTTGGGAATGAGGAGTCCTGTTTGCCTCAAAGCAGACTATAAATGTTTGATTCGTGACCAGACGACTTGACTTTTAATGACCTGCAACTGTCTAAAATAAGCACAAAAATTTATGACCTACCACCAGGCAGCTAGACACCATTTCTTAGTCCCCTAATAACACCCTATATTTCTCTGGAATTGTTTTTTTTTTTTTTTTCCCCCATCAGATGGCTTCAGAATACTCTTCTAGAATAAAATGGTGGGACTGACGTAATATGAAGTTAGTACACTTTAAGTCCTAGATGTCCCAATGACAATCTCAAGGGCACCCTACACCGCATTTACTGCAAAGTGAATATATATCACCCTCTTCTTCACCAGCCAATAGTTGAGTACGGACGGTCAGCGGAAGGCCAGGCGGCCTTCCAGCGATGACCCCCCGGGGCAGGCTCTGACCCCCTGCGCGTTACACCTCTGCTGGAGGGGCCTCACTTGGGAAACGCCATCACCTCCTCCGCACTGACGCCAGGCCTTCAGGGCGTTTACAGCCCCAGCCAGTGAGTTCAGCGCGGCGATTCTCAATCAGTGATGGAGGAAACTCGGATGAGGAGAACCTCATTGTCAGAACCAATCTAAGGCTAGGGGATTCAGGTCCCGAACTCTCTGGAAAGGCCCAAGAATCACTCGGAAGGAGATGGCAAATGAATACTGAAACCCCGCTGACCCTGGGTGTGAGCCAGACGCCAGCAGGGCATACACGTCAGCGGTGGAGTCTTGCTGGACTGGGTGGGGGGTCAGCCGAGCTGGGGACCTGGACCCCACAGCACGAGGAACCCGGGAAATAAGGGGGGGGCAACCGGAGCCTTGTCGGTAGCTCTTTCCTCATATGGGGCTTTGGGTGAAGTGAAAGAGGAGAGGCTGATGTCACCGAGGGGGGACATCACTCAGGCACCTGTGGGGGGCACCCTACCTGGGCACTGGCACAGCCTGAGGGGGGCGTCCAAAGGGCTCCAGGGTGGAAAGACAACACCTTCTGGAAGCCATGTGGCTGTGGTGACCGGTAACGGTAAGCTGGGCTGCGTGGTACTCAGACAAGTGGAGTCCCCTCAAGCAGAGCCAGCTGTCTAACATGCGGCCACGGTTTTCAGTGCCACTTGGGTTCCCTTGTTGTCTTCAGAAGAGGAAGCAACCCGTCTCCAAGGGAACAGCTGGCTAGAAACGCAGCCTCTTCTCTCCTGCTCTTGGATTAAAAGGTACCAAACCCTTAGGTTTTGGGGTTGTGAATGGAGGACTGAAGCATTGTCTTTGAGAGAAGCCAGTAAACACCACATTACGAAAACTGTAATAACCACCAGATACTGAGGGTTTGCTCCCCGTGCTCTATGCTTTCTGAATTATTCATTTTATCCTCAAAAATAACTCAGGCTGAAGGGGCCATTGTTACTCTTTTATAAATAAGGAGGCCAGAGCAATGAGATGTTTCTAAATTGCTTAAGGTCAGGCGACAAGTAGGATGCGAACGCCGCCCTGACTCCAGCTTCATGACCCCTGAAACACGAGCAACATACACTGGTCAGGAGAAAGTTCCAGATGTCGCGAGGGGCCTGCAAACTCACCTTCGGCTCTCCGGTCACCATGAAGTGGGAGGGATCGGGAAACAAAGCCCAGCTCAGGGCATGCAGCGGGGGGAGCTGCTGTTCCCCCACAGGTTCCACAAATGAGTCTAGTCTGATCCTTCAATCTATGTTCATTTGGGCTTTACATATATACATCTTTAGTCCCCAGTAGACCCCACAGGATGCCAAGTGCATCTCATGCTCGGGCTTCAAGAAAACACCCAGTTGCATGGATGATGCACTAAACCTCGCTTCTTCAAGTGTGGACCCAGATAGGCGCATCAGAAGCACCTGCGGACCAGTCAGGACGCAAATCCTCAAGGCCCCCCACCCGCCCGTGCCTCCCAGACCTGCAGAATCAGAAACTGCAGAGAGAGAACCCGGCAATCCATCTGCAAACCCGCAGAGCAGGTCACTGGCCGCACAAAGCCAGGTGAGAATCTGCTTTACACCAAGAGGAGGTGGCGCTAAGTGAGTTCTTTTTTCCACATGAAAAAACATCGACTTTACATTTCCATTTTCTTTTATTTAAAAAAAAAAGATTTTACCTCATTTCCAAATCTTCATTCTCCTGTGGTACAAATTTGTACAAGGCAACATAGGTGTTCATCTGTAATGGTTCTTTGGAAAGAGATCCCTGAAAGAGAAAATTTAAAAAAGACACAGATGAAAGAGGGAAGAAGGAAGAAACTGAGAGAAGAAAGAAACCAGAACAGGAATACATGAGTGCAATGTATTTCCGGTGTATGGATTATAAGTCTTGAATCATCTAACCATTATTAAAGGCTTTGTTTCAACGAGAGGTCTATTTTAAGTTTGTTTGCTAAGTTTGCTTTCATTGGTCAGAAATAACTACAAATTTCTTCAAATAAATCCTTCCTTTGCAGATAGATACCATGTGTTTGCACGTATAGGAGGATCAGGAGGAACTTAACGGAGGACCGTGGGGGAGAAGAAGGGGGGAAATGGTGGGGGAGAGGGAGGGAGGCAAACCATGAGAGACTCTTGAATGCTGAGAACACACTGAGGGCTGTTGGGGGTGGGGGAAGGGGAGGGGGGTGATGGGCACGGAGGAGGGCACTTGTGGGGATGAGCACTGGGTGTTCTATGGAAACCAACTTGACAATAAACTATTTAAAAAAAATCCTTCCTTCACTATAGTTGTTCACAAGAGGTGACACGCTTGGCCTGAAGAATGGGAATATTGGGTCTATAGAAATAGGGACATATGAAGAGTAGTAAACAACTTTCACTTCCTAAAATTTCCATTTTATCAATTAGCCTAAAATTTGGTATCTAGCCTACCAAAGGGACTAAGGTCTATTCCTCTGGGAAATTAGTTGATGCATGTTGTGAAAAAAGCCTTGTTTTGGCATCAGCTTGATTTAGTTGATATCATAGGATCAGCATCTCCTGACTATAAAACCTTGCAATAATGATAATAAAAGCTACCCTTCTGCTAGTTTACTGTGTGCACCAGGCATTATGGTACATGCGTTAGCACGCTCGAACCTCCAACAGCCCCCAATTGTCTCCAACTTAGAGATAATGCAAGAGCCTTATAAGTGATATATAAATATTACCCATTATTATGCAAATGAATTTCAATGCTATATATATACTTTATAATATATACAAGATATACAATAAATATAAACTATATAATATGTAAATACAATTGTGTAATATTACTATTGCATAACAATACACAACATATGTAATACAGACACATATAATGTAGCGCATTATATATGTGCATATATGTGCATATTATATATGTGCATTATATATTGTATATGTAATATACAATTGTATAATACATTTAAATACGTAATAATATGATAAGCATATACAATATATATCAGACATAAGAGTTATACACAACCGATTCACTCTGCATCCAAAGTTCAAGTACCTTATGCTATATTATTTCTGTCCTAGTCTATCCTATTGTAACTATATAATAAATTATATATAAGTGAACATAAAATATAATAAATATGTACTTCTATATTATAAAATATGGTCATAATATTTTATTTGTAATTGTGTATGTAATTTGTAATTGTAATATGTAATTGTGTAATTTACATATTCTATAGTATGTATCAAATTGTATATAGCAGATATAATGGAAACAAAAAGTTTACAGCACAATACTTTTCCTTTCTACTTCTGATGCACTGTGATACTTCTGTTTAGTGCTGTCTATCGATTTCATGCTATCTATATTACACTATGGCACTTTACGCTACGTTACTGTCTTCCGTTCTATTCCACACTCTATTCTGAGACCTACTAACTTGATTTCATAACCTACTTGGGTGGCGACCTGCAGTGTGATCTAAGGACCCTGGCTGGTCGGCTTTCTCTGACACCTGTGAAAATTAATTAAGGGAGACCTCAGTAAAACGCAGTCAGGAGACTGGGCGGGGGGAGCTCTTATGCCCTATTGCTCGAATTCAATACAGATCCAACCTGACGAGCGAGGGACCTTGCTGTGACTACGACTTCAGCTACCGCTGCCCCCAGCAGGAGGAAGGCCGGCTAACAGCCTCACCAATGAGACCCAGTGACGAGCTACTATACCCAGAGCTCCCCGTTTCCCACAGTGGACTTCCAGTCTATAGGAGCCTCCCAGCTTCCTCCTTTCCTCGGGAAAAGGGCAATTCTCCGCTTTGCTCGGTGGGATTACCCGTGGTTTTGTCAGAGCGAGCTTGTCCTGCATTGTGATTTTCTGCCATTTCTGAATAAACCCTTACATATTGTCTTTGGTAAAATAATTTTTAAGGTTGACGCAGCCATAAATACCTGGTGGTTTAAGTTCTTTGCTTGGTCTCTGAAATCGTCAGTGCCGTTTTCTGGATAAGTAAACACTGAAGGAGACAAGAAAAACAGGTGCTTTATGAACGTTTTGGAAACATGCTTGGAGGACGTGGCTGTATGTAGTCCCTGTTCCACAGCCTCGGCCGCATCGTCCGTGTCATCTTCCACATGATGCTTCCCCTGCCTCCCCGGGCAGCCTTCTGCACCCCCTCCTCTGCATGCCCGCAGCCCAGCACGTGCCAGCTGCCGTGCATGCTCCTGAACTTGGCAATTGCTTGTTCACAACTCACTCTTCCTTCATCTTTGAAACAATGTCATTCATCTCTGTTGAATGTATCAAAATCATTTGTTAAGGGAAGGGGGGGTGAGGTATGGCCGACTTGCATTTGAATTACCTTTTCAAAATACCAGATTCTTCTATCTGTTCTCAGTATTTTTATCCCAGTTTCCTGATATCTGTGTTCTATTTTGCACATTAAAGTTTTAGTTTTAAGCTTCAACATGTTTCCTCCACCTCTTCTTGTCAATGCACTGGGACTATTCTTTGGAATAAAAAAAATAAGTAGTGGTTTCTCATTTAGTTTGTTTGGAAATATGTACTTCTCTTCCTTTCGCATTTAAGCAGCCACTCTGCGGTCTTTAATAAAGAATAGAGCTTCCCCAAATGGGCAGTTTTCACTGTGGGTGGTGCCTGATGGGTACTTGGGGTGGGAGGCTCCCCCTTAGCTAGTTCGGCCAGTCAGATTTTCCCCAGTGACACAGCGTGATGGCCTTATTCTCACCATGGGTCTCTGCCTCAAACAAAAACGTAGCAATCGTTTCCAAGTTTGTACCATGGAATTTTGGTGTCTAAATTAACCCACCAGTTAGGTTACTTAACATTTAAAAATAACATATTGCTTCCTTACGTTTCCCTTAAGATTAAAAAAAAAAATCAGTAAAGGAAGAGAAACACAGCATAGAAAACTCTACAACCTATTTCAGTCAGGCATCGACATCTCCAGCGTCCTTCAAATGAACTCAACCATTGTGATGCAGAAAACACGCTTCAGAATAAACGTAGTGATGCTCAGTAAACATCTATTCTCTGCAGTTCAGAGTTTTAGAGCCTGTGCAGGAAATTCTATGATTCCTTGGAAGCCTCGGCGTAAATCTGCAGTCTTAGAAGGGACTCCAGAAATGATCCCATGGACCTTGTCTGCCTCAAATCTGGTTACCGATTTCACCCACGACAACTATTCAGAGAATAGGCATATTAAAAAATTTTTTTTAATGTTTATTTATTTTTTAGGGAGCGAGAAAGACAGAGTGTGTTCGATTGGTTTTGAGGTCAGTATTAAACTAGCCTCATAAACGAAGTTAGAGAAAGTGGCAGTCCTTCCTTGCAACTTTTCATTTTCCTGGAAGAGCTTACATAACCAAGAAATTCTCCATTCTTTACCTGTTTGGTTGGGTTTACTTACAAAAGTTGTCTGGGCCTGGTGTTTTCAATGTGCAAAACTTAAAATATTGATTCAGTTTCTATTGGGATCGGCAGCCAATTCAAGTTCTTAAGTTTTCTATTCCTTCCTAGGTCAGACTTTAGTCAATGATATGTTTCTTGGTATGCGCCCATTCAAAATTTATTGGCATGGGGTGGGGGGTCACCTGGGTGGCTTAGTCAGTTAAGCATCGGACTCTTGGTTTCCGCTCAAGTCATGATCGCACAGCTTTGTGGGTCTGAGCCCTGCATCAGGCTCTGTGCTGGCAGTGTGGAGCCCACTTGGGATTCTCTCTCCCTCTCTCTCTCTCTCTCTCTGTCTCTCTCTCCCTCTCTCTGCTCTCCCTCACTCACATTGTCTCTCTCTCAAAACAAATAAACTTTAAAAAAATTTAAAAAATTATCTGCATGAAGTTGGTCGTGAAAATCTTTTATTTTCTTCAATCTCTGTTACATTCATCATTTTTTATTGTTGTGTTTTATTTCATCACTCTTTTTTATTCTTAAGAAAACTGTAATTGTAAGTTTATCTCTTTTAAGGACCATTCTTAATACTGATTGACCTATCTCTGTCATTTGATAATTTCTCCTCTTACCACCTTTCTATCACCTTCCTACTGCTTTTCAGGGGTTTATTCTTTATCTTTTTTTCTGACTTAAGTATGATGCTTAGGTTATTGCTTTCTACACTTTTTATTTTTATTTATTATTTAATTTTATTATTTTTATTTTATTTTATTTTCAATTTTTTGAGGGAGAGAGAGAGAGAGAGAAGGAGTGGGAGGGAAAGAATCTTAATCAGGCTCCATGCTCAATGCAGGTCCAATAAAGGGCTTGACCTAATAAGACCAGACCGTGAGATCATGACCTGAACTGAAATCAAGAGTTGGATCCTTAACCGACTGAGCCACCCAGGCATTCCAGTCTTTTTATTTTTTAATAGAATACTTTCAATGCTAAATATTCTAGTAACAATTTAGCTACCTCTCACAAATTTTGATATGTAGTATTTTCATTCTTAGTTTTAATATATTCCGATTTTCATTATAAATTCTTTTTTGACACGTGAGCTTTTTGAATGTATGTTTTAATTTCCTAAATTATGGGTTCTCCTATATCTTCTGACTACTGGTCTCTATCTCATTTGTGTGATAGCCAGAAAGGTATACTCCATATAATATTAATTCTATAAAAATTTATGAAGCTCACTTTATGGTCTGCAGGTAATCAATTTTATCATTGTTCTGTGTGTCCTTAAAAAGAATGTGAATTCTCCATTTGTTAGATGGAGTGCCTGTTTTAAGTTAATTAGGATTGTCAAATGTGTCTTCAGATCCTCTAAATCCTGAATCTTTTTATGCAACTGCTTTACCAATGACTTGAGAGGCATGTTAAAACTTCTCACTATGAAGGGGAATGTCAATTTCCCTAATATTTCTGTCAATTGCTCCTTAAGTTCCGGTGATTTAAGGCTATATAATACGTAGACATAAGTTTAGAACTTACATCTTCTTGTGAAGTAGACATGACCATGTAATGATAATTTTTTTCTCTAATAATGCATTTTTGGTCTTAAAGTCCATTTTCCCATACGTTAATATAGCTATACAAGCTTTTGCCTGTGGGAGCTTTTAAAAATACATGTAGTTAGGGGCGCCTCAGTGGCTCAGTCGAAGCATCTGACTTCAGCTCAGGTCATGATCTCACGGTTTGTGGGTTCGAGCCCCGCATCGGGCTCTGTGCTGACAGCTCAGAGCCTGGAGCCTGCTTCAGATTCTGTGTCTCCCTCTCTCTGACCTTCCCCTGCTCATGCTGTCTCTTTCTCTCTCTCAGAAATAAGTAAGAAAAACACTAAAAAAAATACATGTAGTTTTTTTACATGTATTTATTGTTTATTTATTTAAGTGTTTATTTATTTATTTTTGAGAGAGAGAGAGAGAGGGAGAGAGAGAGGTGAGAGAGAGAGACAAGAGGCAGAGAAGAGGGAGAGGGATAATACCAAGCAGGCTCCATGCTGTCAGCACAGAGCCTGATGAACCTATGTACTGTGGGATCATGACCTGAGCAGAAATCAAGAGTTGGGACACTTAGCCGACTGAGCCATCCAGACACCCCTTATTTTTTTACTTTTAAACTTTCTACATCCTTATGTTTTAGGTTTTTATAAATAGTCATTTAAATAACCCTGTGTGTAAAACTCTTTCTTCTAGGTTTAGTTGATTTACATTAATTTTGATTACTGATAAATTTGGGTTCTTTTCTAGGATTTTATTTTGTATTTTCTATTTGTCTCAAATATTGTATGATTTTTCTCTGTCCCTCCCCCTTTCTTTAGTTTATAAGGTTAAATCTATTTTTTAATCTTCTAGTGGCTACCTTCAAAATTTTATGAGGTATATTTAACTTCACAAAATCTATCATCAAATAGTATCTTTAATTGTCTTCCAATTCATACAAGGATCTTCGAATGCCCATTTCTCACTGAGATGTCTAGTATTTCAGTTAATGTTTTATTAACAATTTTTTGCTAACATTTGTTATCTTTTTACATAGCCGATGTTCACTCGGTTCTTTCTTTGTGCTTCATTCCTTGCTTGTCAGTTCTTCCTTTGAGGTCACGTTTTTCTCTCTGAAGTACATCGTTGTGAAATTTCTTGAGTTGGTCTTTCTTCATGGTACTGTAGACAGAGCGCTTGTCTGAATATATATTATTGGAAGACAGTTTTGTTTTTGCGGCATTTACAGTTGTATGTTAAGAGTTACTTTTTTCCCAGATTATTGAAGGTACTGTTCTACTGTTATTTGGTTCCACTGTCACTTCCTAGAAAGAGCTGTCCAGCTAGTTTTCGTTCCTTTGCAGGTGATCTTTCAGTCTGCATTTACCGTTTTCTTTCATCTTTAAAATTCTGCAGTTTTGCAAGGATGGTCTAAGTATAAATTTCTGAATTTGAGGAATGGTATCTTTAGTCAATTTGGAAACGTATTAGCCAGTATCTTCTTGAATATGGTCTCTCTCCCATTCTCTCTTTATGTACCTTTAAAATGTCACTTAGATGTATATTGGACTTTCTTGCTCATCTCCTGTGTCTCTGTTACTGTTGTGAATTCTATCACTTTGTCTCTCTGGCTATTCTCTAAGCAATTTCTTTGGCTGTATATTCCACAACACTAATTCTCTCCTCAGCTATATCCAATATGCAAGAAAATTCAACAACCAAATTTTTTTCCCTCTCTCTCTTTTCTTAATTTTTAAAAGTTCTGTTTGGTTTTCTTAAAATTTGCCTGTTCAATTCTGATGTCTCACTCCTTTGTTATATGTTCTAGTCCACTTTTCGTATCTTTAAATATATATAGCTACGTAGTTATGTATTTCTTTATTTGATAATTCCAACATATACAATCTTTGATGTCTGATCATAAAAAAGGCTGTTTCAGCTAACTCTTACTCATGGTGGCTCATTTTCACGTGTACTTGGTGTATTTCAATTCTGAAATTACAAAATTTCAATTCTGGAAATTTCTGAGGTCTGAGTTTAAATTCTCTTCCTCTAGAGGCCATTTGTATTACTT